TCTGTAATTTTCTGCTGGTATTAGGCGGCTCCGGACCACCTCGGGAGATTAATTCCTCCTCCTTTGGCAGTGCCAGCGTGGCTGGTGGCGGGGGTTGCTCCACGGCAAACCCCAGCCCCGTRGCCCCCACCCGGGGGATTCCTCCTCCTCCTCCGTGCTCCGGTTCAGGGAAAGTGTGTCATTCCCAAAGTCGCTTACGCAAACAAACCCAAGTGTCCCCAAACACTGCTGCCTTTCACTGCCAAGCGCTCCGGTGACTCAGAGGTGGATTCAAACCCGGAGAGGCAAAGTGTGCTCTCCCTCGCACCCGTGTGAATCCGTTTCCGTGGGCAGCGTAATTCCGGATTTACTTCTAGGAACATGACTTGCGAGACTGGCCCTGGGGTAAATAATGACTCTTGATTTAATAACTCCTGCCAGCCCTGCAGGATACCTCACTTCCGAGGGAGCTAATAGAGAGAGATCTTTCCTAACATCTGTTTTCCCAATTTTGCCGACTCGTGAGCCTGGATCTGGGAAGCAGCATCCAAGCAGCAGAAACTGCCCACTGCCAGTGAGCACATGAGGATGGAGAATATCTGGGAATATCTGGTGCTCCCGGTGCCCACTGGAGCCACGTGCTGGCTGCTCACACCCTCACGCAGGGATCAGGAGTGGCAGCTCCCACTCCTGATTGTGCCCATCCCGTATTTTTTCTGGTATGTGTTTTTCCTGACAAGAAAATCCCTGTTTCTGCTGCAAAACCTCTCCGTGACCGCTGCAGTCGGTGCCCTGTGTCCCTGGCACGCCCCAGGGCAGGGTGACAACGTTCAGTGGCACATGGCTCTGGTTGCCATCCTGCTGCAAAAATCTGATGCTCAGCAAACCCCTCCAGTGTTTCCTTTTGGATTTGTTGGCTTTCCAGATCCTCGCAGCACCGGGAGCGGGGACCTGGCACAGCAGTGACACCCTCCTTGTAAACCTTTCCTGCTTTTTTTTCTTCTCTCTCTTGTTTCATGTCTCCCTSTCAGAAAAAGCCATTTAAATGTAATTCTGTTCTTAAACCCTCTCCCTCATGCATGCCTAATGAACAGCAGGCAGAGGTGCCGGAAACGGGTCCGAGTAGGATTCAATCTCGCCGAGTGTCGACAAGTCATTTGGAAGGAGCCCTGGGAGCGCGCCCAGTTTTATTACAGCGTAATTAGAAATAAAATCTTGTTGCGGGAGGAGAATGAGAGATGGGTGTTAATCCCGTAACGGGAGGAGATRGAGCCGTGCTTATAAAGGAGATTAGGGAGGGGAGGCGGAAAGCCCGTCACGAGTCCCCGATTCCACCCCTCCTCTGCTGTTTCCCCCACTCTGGCTCCAGCAGAATCCATCAGGTCCTTTGGTCAGGAAAAGGGGAAGGAGGATGAGGAGCAGAGGAGGTGCAAAACCCGAGCTGTTGGCTCAGTTGGCATCGCTAGCCTTACAAATGCCCCCAGCTGTTCCAGGTGGGAACCTTTGGCTGAGCRCTCAGCTCCGCTGCCTTTGGAAGGGCTGGGAGAAGCCACGGCCCCACGGCTCCCCCGGGATCCCCACGGCAGCAAAACACGTAAATAAATCTGTCAGATTTGTGCAGGTCCTATGAAATTTGCATTGGGCTGGRGTTGAGGCTCCTCGTTAACATCTCCACGAGGGAGGGATGGATGGAGCTTTAATCTCAGAGCCCCTCTGCTCTCAGCATTTGCTGTGGCACGAGCTGGGCTCAGCCTGCTGAGATAAAAGGCAKCKCTGGTGCTTGGYCATCRATGCCATCCTGTTCCTGTGCCCATCAATGSCATCCTGTTCCTGTGTCCATAATGCCATCCTCTTCCCGTGCCCATCAATGCCTTCCTGACTGCGTCCCAGGGCTCAGTCTGTCCCAGGCAGGGCGGTGGCCATCGGTACCATGGAGTTCCCATCCTGGCTGTGTTTTCTGTGGATGTTCCTTGTCCCCAGGCGAGCTCCATGCCGGGCAAATGGCATCTTGGAACAGCAGCCACAGCAGAAAAGTGCCGCTGTGGCAGCGGTGGAAAATTACAGGCTTTGCTCTTTGGGGCTTCCCCCTCCGTGCCTTCCCTCCGGGAGGCGTTTGTCACTTTAAACGTGGCCAGAAATAGCACCAAACASTTATTGGATTTGTCCGGGATGCCTTGGGATGCACATGCTCCGAGTATGGCTAATTCATAAACGCTGGCACCTATTGATTCTCCAGCAGTACCAGGGGAAAGTTATCTCATTAGTCTTATGAACTATAAAACGTGCTCCCTCCGGAGCCCTGACCCCGCTGTTTTGATGGATCTATACTGGATGGAGCAGGAGCCGGTAATCTGCATCGACTGTAATCTTTCTTTCTCTTGGAACTGGGAGTACCTTTGGAATGAGGTTGGGGTTTCAGGGCCACCACTGACAGCTGGGTGTGGGAAAGGTGTGTGTGTGCTCAGTGAGACCGTGCAGGAGAGCCCCTCTCTCACCCCTGTGCTTTTCTGCAGGTCTGGGAATTTAGGTAGAATTTATCTCCTGGTGGGCTCTTGGCTGTGTGTGATCACAGGGTTTGCTGAGGTGTCTCCACAAGCAGCTGCTCCAGTCTGGCTGGAGGAGTTATTAGATCCACATCGCTCCAGCCTGGCCACGGATGTGCTTAATCCTCTGCTTCCTGTAAAGCTTTTCCACCTCCTGGCAGGCAGAAAGATCTGATTTTGCTCGGCGACCTCCGACGTTAATCTCCCTGGCAAACTCAGCAATAAGTCACTTGGGYGAGGTCTGTCGGAGCCGCTCACATCAGTTACTGCCCCGCATCTCCCCTGAACCAGCAGAACATTCCTCGACGGAGTCACTTGTCCCTTCCCAGGAAAAAAAACCCGAAGGCAGCTGTGCTGTCAGCTTGGGTGGATCTCACACGTGATGGAACGGTGTCGCCACACCGATGCCTCCTGTCGCTCCACGGTGGAGACGTGGATCCTCAATCTGCGGGATTTCTGCCCGTTCCTGTCGCTGGGGGAGTGTTATGGCTGGAGCCCCATCCCAGAGCCTGGATGTCGAGCWCAAGGCTTTGTTTCCAGGGCTGTGGATCCCCAGGCACGGCCGCGTGTGAGGGTGTGGGCTGGGGCTGCCAGCACTTCGCAAAATACAGCCCCGTTACCATGGAAACCGGCTCCCCCCAGCTCAAATTCCAGTGCAGCCAATGTTCTCCGCTTACTGGTTTGATGGGAGATGAAAAATTAATGTTTGATTTGCATGTTATTTCAGCGCTGTGGGACCACTCCCCCTGCCCTTCCGCGGGGGTTGCGCGGRTCCCGGGGCGGCTCCCGCTGGCAGTGGAGCACAAGGCTCGCACCACTGCGCATCCAGTCCCAGTTACAGACTGGTGCGGGGCGTGTGCTGCCATACTGGGGTTCACATGGCATAGCTTGAGGTTTTGGCTGAAGTTTTGGCTGGTGAACCCCTGAACTCTCCAAGTTGTGGGGATGGCAGCTCCTGCACCCCATGGGGCTGTCACCTCCTGTTCCCACTGCTTCCAGGGAGCATCAGCTCAGGTTGCCAGCCTCGCAGCTGCCTGTGCCCCTGTTAGCCACAGTTGACTGGCATTATGATCAATTATTTGCTGTTTCTTTGCTGTTTGGGGTCCCTCGCGCTCTTGGTACAAGCGATTGGAGTCAAACACGCACATCTGGCTGGGATGGGTAACGCCAGCACAGCTCATGCCAGGGACACGCTCTGGTTCTCTGGGTGAGGGTCCCCATTTTCTGCTGCTCTGTCATCTGCAGCACGCAGGGAATTGGGGCTGGGGTCCTGCCCAGAGTGATCTGGGAACGTCTTGTCCTCTCTTTCACTCGTGCTTATTCTGCACTTCTGACTTTGACCACAGAGCTTTCCTCTGCCTAAATTGAGAATATCCAGGTGCTTCAAAAAGGTGCTGGAAGTAAAAAACGGTTGTTTGGCCTCATCAGCTAGATCGTGGCTTAGCAGGCATTGTGCAGGRCTTGAGGGAGCCATTTGCAGATGCTGCTGATTTACAGTCTGGGTTTAAAGGTTTTCACTCTGAGCATTCAACTGCACTAAATTACTTTCTGCAATCATGGGGCTTGGTAGAGGGTGGTTTGGCTGGCAGCACGGTGCAGCTGAGCAGATGGAGCATCCCATCCCAGCTGAGACTGGTGCTGGAAGAAACCCCAAAGCCCCACAGAGCCGGGCGTGACTGGCACTCAGGGGCAGGGCAAAGCGCTTTCCAGGTGGGCAGGGAGCTTCTCCAGAGCCTCGGGTTATGTATCCACCACACAGGCCTTTCTATTGGAGTTAATCACTGTTATAATTCATGATGAATTACGGGGGTCATGAGCCAGACGGAGACTCCTTTCCCCCKCGCCATCCTCCGAACGCTGCTGGCCGGAGGGGTCCGTGCTGCCCTGGCTGCTCTCCCGCCACCCTCCTCCCRGGGCTCAAACATCAGCTCAAGCCCTTATTTGTTTTCACATGCTTCTAAGTAAGTTAAGCTAATTATTAACTCAGCGGGACGGATTCACTTTTAATTGCGGCGTTGCCATGGAGCGCGTGGCACCGCGGCGGAGCAGCGTGCGCCGGAGCTTCGTGCCACACTCTCTGCTCACCCTCTGCAGCCAGGGCCGGCCTGAATCCGAGCCTGGGAGTGTGTAAAGACACCCCAAACCCACCTTTACACCTGGGCAGGTGTCTGTGTGCTTTGCCCAGGGTGAGTGATGGAGGGAGGCCGTGCCCGCAGATGCGGGGATGCTCTTGCACACCCACGTGCTGCTGTTGCACACACAAGGCTGCTGTGGCTCACCCAGCTTCACCAGCCTGCTGAAACTTCAGCCAGAGCTGCACCCCGATGTGTAGGGAGGTGGAGGAAGGTCCCTTTTTCCCCTGCCACAGCTCTGGTGCCAGCCTGCAGTGCAGGGGCTCGGCCTGACCCAGTGCTCAGCCCRGGGTGAGGGCTGCCTCGGGCTGGCCCGCTCACTCTTCTCCTCCCTTTGTGTCTCCAGAAAATAGGTTTTTTATTACTTCTTATGGAGGTTTGTACATATCGGACGTGCAGAAGGAAGATGCCTTGTCCACCTACAGGTGTATCACCAAGCACAAATACAGCGGGGAGACGCGGCAGAGCAACGGCGCCCGGCTCTCCGTCTCAGGTGAGCAGTGAGAGGGGCGAGGGGCGGCTCCCGTGCCCGGGGAGGGTCCAGCCCTGCCCGATGTCCACTCCCCTGCCCACAGCACCGCCATCCTCCCGCGGTGCGTAGTGAGCGATGGCACCGCCACCTCGGGTCCCCGCAGCCAAGGGACATCCCAGGGAGGGCCGGGATGTCCCGTCGGGGCCGCACAGGGGGTTGGCAGTGCCCCCCATCCCGCAGCCCCCCCGAGCCGGCGGTGGCGGTGGCGGTGGCGGTGGCGGTGGCAGTGCCGCGCGTCACCCCGAGCGGGAGGCGACGGGGCGAGCGGCGATGCGATGTGACAGCCCGCGATGTGAGCAGCCTGACGCGATGTGACGAACATGCAAGCGATACTGCGGCGGAGGCAGTGCAGTCCGGAGTGCCGGGTGTCTCGGGGCGCTCCCGGCTCCGCTCACTGCCCAAATTACTCCGCTCGGGAGGGAGGGAGGGAGGGAGGGAGTTCGCCCGACTCGCGGCCGCGGAGCCGCTCGCTGCCATATGCTGCTCCCATCCTCGGGTGTTCCCGCACCGGCTCCCCGAATTAAACCCCCGGAGGGCAGGGAAGAGATCCAGGATTTGCCCAATCCTGCAAGAGAGATCCGCGGGTCCCACCCGTGCCCGTCCTGCCGCTCSTCCCAGCGGGTGTATCATCCCCAAATCCGCGCTCTTCGAGCTGGCCCGGTCCCCTCCTGGTCGCTGTCATTATTTACACGTCACGGCGTTTTACTCCTGCTTGGGAGTAATGAAAGAGGTTTCTTTCCCCTGGAATTTAATTTCACGCCTGAGACTTAGTGATTAATTTTCTCCTTTCCCAGCTGCCTGATGGGCCCTTTTGCTTGTAAATTTTGAAATGTGCCACAGAATTTGTGTATTTTGCACCAATTAGGTGTCACCTTGAGTAATTCCTCGGGTGCTGAGTTTATTCCTCCCATCAGCTACTCAAGATGTGTTTTCCCTCCCCTCTCCCCACGTGCCTGTTGTCCTGGCTGCCAAAAGCTGTGCTGGCCATGTGGGATGGGGCACCCCATGCCCAGAAAGGACCATGGGGTCCATCCTGCACTCCTGTCTGGCAGGAGTTGGGGTGGGGAGAGCCAATCTCTCGTGAATGGTGCTGACTGAGTGCAGTGTCACCATGCCAGGGGCTGTCCCGCTGTCCCTGCAGACACCTCACCTCCTCCTCTTCCCCCGCTGAGCCCAATTCCTCTCCCAACGCAGACCCGGCAGAGTCCATCCCCACGATGTTAGACAGCTTCCAGTCCAGGGAGGTGAAGGCGGGCCGGCTGGTGGAGCTGCCCTGCATCGCCTCGGGCTACCCCAACCCGGCCGTGCGGTGGATCAAGGACGGGCGGCCCCTCCCCGCCGACAGCCGCTGGACCAAGCGCATCACCGGGCTGACCATCAGCGACCTGCGCGTGGAGGACAGCGGCACCTACATCTGCGAGGTGACCAACACCTTCGGCTCCGCAGAGGTCACCGGGACCCTCACGGTCATAGGTGAGAGCCGGGGGATGGAGCGGTGTGGGGTTTGGTGCTGCTGCCTTCTGACACGTAAAGCCTTGATCAATAGAAAGCTTTAGGGGTTTATACAGCTGTATAAACAACAGCCCTGTGTTTTGGCACGGTGTTTTGGTCTCTGGAAGCCACTGTCTTGCACGTGTCCGACGTGTTGGGTGCCTCTGTGCTTTGCTCTGTTGATTTACATAAAATTTATGTTGATTTACATAAAATAAGCTCTAGCCAAACAGTAAATACCATCTGGGCAGGCCAAGTATTTAYCACGTGCTGTTTTCCCGGGGGTTCCTCCTGTCACCAGGATCCTGGCAGCACCAGAGCCACTGTGCCTGCCTTACCTAGAGCAGCCCTGGCGAGCACAGCACCAGCCGGGCACCATCAGCCTGCAGGGAGCCAGCCTGGTGCGTCCCCAGCTCAGCACCGTCCCTGTCACACCAATCACATTTTCTTCCAGCCATCCTGCCACCTCCCCGCAGCACCCCCTCCAAGGGCCTGGGGCTGATGCTAAAAGCAGGGGCTGTCAGCAGCGAGGACGGTGGCAGGGCCACCTGCCTGATTGTGCGGTGACATTTAACGCGTAGCCGGGCTGGCKCTGCCGGGGCAGGAAGAGCAGAGAGAGCACGGCGGGGATGAGCCGCTCCCGCTGCTGCACTGCCCGGCACCACCAACGCCTCGCCGCTCTCCCCTCTCTCACAGACCCTCTGCGTGTGACCCTCACACCAAAGAAGCTCAAAACAGGCATCGGCAGCACCGTCATCCTCTCTTGTGCCCTCAGCGGGTCCCCCGAGTACGTCATCCGCTGGTACCGCAACACGGACCTGGTGGTGGTGGATGATTACATCTCCATCCGMGGCATCAGCAACGAGACCCTGCTCATCACGGCCGCCCAGAAAAGCCACTCYGGGGCCTACCAGTGCTTCGCCACCCGCAAGTCCCAGACGGCACAGGATTTCTCCATCATCACGCTGGAGGGTGAGCTGGYTTCCCGGGCTCGGGGCTTCTTCCTCTGCCCCTCTCCGAGGGGATGCTTTGTGCATGGCTGGGGAGCAGGGASACCCGCTGGGCTGGGGTTYCTGGRGTGCTGYCMGCCCATTCCTGTGCTCTGTGTGCAGGGACACAGCATGGCTGGGGCAGGGAAGGACCAAAATAATGATTGGCTTGCCATCCCCAGCCCCTGGGCACCCYSTTCACCRRGCAGCCCTCCCTGATCCTGCTCACWGAGTGTTTGGACAAGGGATGGGCCCTGCCGAGGGAGAGCATCTATATCMCCATGTCCCTGCCACAGGGGTGCCAGCACAGCCGTGTGTGTGTGTCACGGGCCGTGCCAGGGGTGGGAGCTCAGTGCCATCCCGCCGGCGGGTGACTGCTGCTGCCTGTGGCTGCCGCTCCCTGACCCCCATCCCGCTGGGTGCCCCCCAGATGGGACCCCCCGCATCGTCTCCTCCTTCAGCGAGAAGGTGGTCAACCCCGGGGAGCAGTTCTCCCTGATGTGTGCCGCCAAGGGGGCCCCGCCGCCGACCGTCACCTGGGCGCTGGACGACGAGCCCATCCCGCGGGACAGCGGSCACCGCTCCAACCAGTACACCATGTCCGATGGCACCACCGTCAGCCACATGAACGTCACCAGCCCGCAGATCAAGGACGGCGGCGTCTACCGGTGCACYGCGCGGAACTCGGTGGGCAGCGCCGAATACCAAGCGCGAATAAACGTAAGAGGTGCCTGTCTACTTTTAAATATCAGAATAGGACTTTTACTGGGCTTTTTGGTTTTGTTCTGTTCTGTTTTTGATTGTTCCTCCTCACCTCTCCCTCTTGGTCCCGGCTGTTTGGGTCTCCCTGGCCACCCCAGCCTCATTCCCTGAGCTCTGCCCCGCTCCTCACACAGATTTGAGCCTCTCCAATTCTTAAAGTATGGAGTTTAACAAAGTGGAAAGCGATTCCAGAGTCTTGGGAGGGCTGGAGCTTGGCTTTGCAGCAGTCAAAGGGCAGCGCTGTCCACCTTGGGGTCCGCTCTCACCCTGCCAAGCCTTGCCTTGGGGTCTGCACAGGGTGGGCAGGCACCTCCTGAGGGATCCCACAAATGGAGATGGAGGTGACAGGCACAGAAATGTCCCAAATCCCCAAGTGCTGTCCCAGCCACCCCCCATTCCCTACAGGAGCCCCATTCCCTGGCAGCCACCGCGCCCGCTGGCACCGGGATCTCCGTGACAAACGATGATGAGGCAGCACGTGAAATCGTGGAAAATGAGCTTTGATTTGTCATGTCTGTATTTTCTTTGTCTGCTAAAAGCCATGGCCGCGTTAATCACCGTGTTATTACGGCTGCAGCGCCTTGCTCGGTGTGTTCGGGGAGCGCTCTCAGGCACGGGGTTTGGTGTAAACCCCTGCCCATTAATAATCCCCAATTAAAGCTCCCAGGCTTACAGGTGGGAGCAAGACAAGATAAGGGAGCGTTTATTTGTCTGCTGAGAACGAGGGTTGAAGGGCTGTGTTTGTCTGTGTCTCAGGTTTGAAATGGATCTAGTGGCTTTTTGGCTGGGATCCCAGGAGAGTCGGAATTTTTGCTGCCGTTTGCTGCTGAATTTGGAGGAAGTTCATCTCTCAGCCATGAGAAGCCAAAGCAGCGTTTTCAATGAGGATGTTCCCTTGTCCCCCCTTTCTCAGCTCTTGATGGGCTGTCACTAGATAAGATTCAGGATTCCTTTTCAGCAGCACAGAGCATGTCCCTCAAACAGGCCTGAGACACGGTTACAAAGGGAAATGCTAATTCCTTCTTTCCTGCTCATTCTTTTAACGCGTCCTAGAATGAGAAACACCGTCCATCAGCTGGTCCTGAGTGCCTGTTAAGCTGTTATCCTGCTACGCCCTCAGGACGAGGAGTCAAGACAGGGTTAATCTTTAGATTACTTTGCTATTTTATGCAGCGGCTGGGAGAACAATGTAATTATTGATGCATGAAACCTCTCGTTTAAAGGCTCACCTGAAGCATTCTCCCAGTCCTTAGGCAGCTCCAAAGCCAGACAGAAAGTGGTGGCTGTCTGGCTTTTCAGTGATACCCAGGTTGGCAGTGTGGGGCACAGAAATGTGGGGTTTAAGAGAGGTGAAGTGTGTTTGCCAGTGGAAGCCAGGTTCCCCTAACAGCTCTTGCCAAGGACGCTTGGCACAATGCAGGCAGCTTGCTCCAGGGAGAGGAGAGAGGGGCTGTGATGGTGGGGGACCCCTCCCCATCTCTCCTACAGCTCCAGTGCTGCTGGAGGAGCCAAGTGGAGGCACCTTGGGCAGCCAGAGTGCAGAAACACAGGCACCATCCAAGCTCCTGCAAAGGGCAGCAGTGGCGTCTGTGGGCTCAGCAGCCCCAGTGAGGGGTGGGATTTGCTGTTTGCAGCGTGGCTGTGACCCGGGAGCACAGCCCTGTTGGAGATGAGGGTGAGGAGCTGTGGTTGGGGGTCACAGCTGTGGGGTCACAGCCAAGGAGCGGCTCTTCCCACCAGCACCAAGAGGAGCCCGTGCTGCCTCCTCACCCAAACCAGGCTGTCCTGGTCACCTCCTCTGCCTGTGAAGCTCCAAAATAGCAGCAGATCTGCATGCAAGCAAATGGCCCTTCGGAATTAACCTAGCCTGCCTCTTCCTTMCTCCCAAATATGTAGGTCCCCCGAGCATCCGTGCCATGAAGAACATAACAGCGGTCGCGGGTAGGGACACTTTCATCAACTGCAGGGTCATCGGGTACCCCTATTACTCCATCAAGTGGTACAAGGACTCTCTGCTGCTGCCCGATAACCACCGCCAAGTGGTCTTTGAGAACGGGACCCTGAAGCTGATGGACGTCCAGAAGGGCATGGATGAAGGAGAGTATYTGTGCAGCGTCCTGATCCAGCCCCAGCTCTCCATCAGCCAGAGCGTCCACGTCACCGTCAAAGGTGAGAGCCTGGGGAGGCTTCCCCTGCATGGGGTGGAGAGCTCATCCACTTTGGGATGTTTGGGATGTCTGTGCCATAGGATGGAGGCAGAGGAGCACCAGGCAGGGAACTGCATGGCCAGGTGGTGGCTGAGCTGTGCAGTCACCAGGCATGGGGGCTCAGATGCCACCATGACAGCCCTCGGGAGCTGGCTTGGCTACCTGGTCCTGCCYGCCGCCGGCGGCTGCCCCGAGCCACACCGTATCCATTTCCCCTTACAAGTGATGGAGCAAGGATTTATGGTGTAAACATAACGTATTAAAACATCTAACCTTTGCTTGGATCACCTTCACCGATGTTTTTCTGTGTGTGCTAGCTTTTAAAAAAATAATAYTCTCGGTCTTCTGAGCGC